ACAGAGAATTGAATACAGAATTCTCAAAAGATAAAAAACAAAAACAACCCCGAAGGCTACGAAGTGTCTCAAAAAGGTTCATCGTCCTTATCAACTAGGGAAATGCAAATCAAAACAACTTTGAGATTTCATCTCACCCCAGTCTAGTGGCAAAAGTCATTGGAACGACCAACAACAAATGTTAAGAGTTGATGTGGGAGAGAAGGGAATCATCCTTCACCGTTGGGATTGCTCTCTGATTTGGCCCCTATGAAAATCAGTGTGGAGAATTCCAAAAGCTGATAAATCTACCGTATGACCCAATTATACTACTCCACAGGTCTTAATACTTGCTTAGCCATGTTCATTGCCATGGTATTTACAATAGCCAGGAAATGGAAGTAACCTAAATGTCCTAGAACTGAAAAATTATATCGGAAATATGGTACTATGAATGTACATGCGAGGGAACACTATTCAGTGGTAAAGGAAAACAAGACGATGGACTTTACAGGTAAATGAATGCAACTGGGAAAGGTCACACTGAGTGAGGGTGAGCCAGACCCGGAAAGACTGATGCCACCACACATTCTCTCTTATGAAGGCCTCTAGCTCCAAGTCTTTAGATGTGAGTACATAGTTGGTTTCCCCCCAGAGATGGAAGGTGATTCCCGATTGCTGCAGACACCATGCACTTCAGAACCAGCCCAGAGACCTTGGAGCTGGGATGATCTCAATGCCCCCTTCATGAAGACTAGCTTTCATGGTGCCGATTTGTGCCGAGATACCAGTGCCTTTACCAACATGTTGAAAGTGGAAAAGAGAAAAGATGTCTCAGCTTTTTCTGAACATAGTCTAACCTCATGAGCCCCTTTGGCAAGGTCTTTGAGATCGCTGAGGTCCATGGACATGCTTTGAGGGTGTTCATGTGCATGGCATGCATGCACACTGTTTTTGTTTGCTTGCTTATGCGAAGGGCATCAAGCAGTCAAGGCATGGGCCCTACCAGTGATTGATTGACAGCCATTTTTTTTTTCTTCTCTTTTGGATGCACTCTACCCAGCTCCCAAATAAGCACACAGGGACTTATTCTTACTTATGAATGTTCAGCCTTAGCTTGGATTGTTTTCTAGCCAGCTTTTCCTAACTTAAATTATCCTGTTTACCTTTTGTTTCTGGGCTTTTACCTTTCTCTATTCTATATGCCTTTCTTTCTTTCTTACTCCATGGCTGGTTGTGTGGCTGGGTGGCTGGCCCCTGTCCTCCTCCTCTCCTTCTCATTGGCAGCCCCACCTAACTAATGGCCATTTATCTCTCTAGCAGACCAATCATGTGTTTTAGGCAGGCAAAGTAACACGGCTTCACAGAGTTAAACAAATGCAACATAAAAGAATGCAGCACATCTTTGCATCATTAAACAAATGTTCCACAACATAAACGAATGTAACACATCTTAAACTAATATTCCTAAGCAACATCCCAATGCTAAACACTAATTCATGTAAGCAGAGTTGTGATGCATACCTCTGTCTGGCCTCTGTCATGTTCTTGATACTATGTCTCTGAAGATTTGCTGGTGTGTTTACATCCATCAGTGTGCTTACATTAACTAAAGCAACTAATGGATTTCTCAGATTGCCCTTTAAAGATTGGCGGTTTTAGATTTGTATTGTAGATATTATTTGGATTATTTCATTGCTCTGTTAGATTCGGAACTGGAAGCCTTAACTGTTTAATCACTGGTCATGGCCATTGCCTCCCAAAATAACAGGCTGCTAATAATTGTTACATGGTGAAATGCTTTCATGTTTTGGAATACTTCCTCAAGTAGAGATTAATTTATTATTTTCTTCACTGTATGCATTCACGTTAAACAATAATTTGGAAGGGAACTATGTTGCTGGACGAATTAAGCCAATTTTTGCTTTACTGAGAACTCAAAAGAGCTACTTGGGCTGGTGAGATAGCTTAGTAAGTGTGCTTGCTGTGTAAACTTGAGGAACTGAGTTAAATCCCTGTAACACATGGTAAAGGGAGAGAGTAGGATCCCCAAAGTTGTCCTAGGACTGCCATGTGGGTGCTGTAATATTCATGTGTCTTGAATGCATAACACTCAGATTCATCTTCCTCCTCCTGCAAGTGCTTGCACTTCTGGGGTCGGCCACTGGGTGTCAGCAGTGCTACAGAAGCATTGACTATCTCCTGCCAGGGTAGAATTGAACATTGTGAGCACATAGACCTTCATGTAGTTCACTGTTTCCACGTGATCAATGCCAGGAAAACCTGATACAGTGTGATATATAGAACCAAGGTACAACTGGAATAGTGAAACTTAAAAAATAAGCCTCTTTAAAGGAGAACCGTAATGGTCCTGCTGGGTATTGTAAATGCCTCAGGTGCATTCGATACTGCTGTTATGTCCCTGGCATTCAGGTCTTTTTTTTTTTATGGAAAGATGGATTGGACTTCAATTTAAGAATACCCAGTAATCCCTCTCAGGACATAATGTACCAGCTGGTATTTTTGCATTGCAGTAAATCGGTTCCATACAACAGTCAGTAATAATTACAGCCGTGTTCTGAGGAATACCAAAGCATTTTCAACAATTTAGTCAAAGTAAATAACATTATTACACAAAAATTTAACCCAATTTGAAAGCTAAATCCAGCAACACTACGTGTCCCACAAAACAATGAGGATTTTTCTAGTTAGGATTATATCAAACTTTTTAAAAATTCATATATTTGCTCTACTATAGGAAGATAATTATGTTGTATAATATGTACTTAGAAGATTATTACTTTGTGATAAATGCCCAGAATTGGACAAGCTTAACCATGATTGTTCATCTGAAAACACAAAGTCCTTTCATGAATGGTAACTCTAGCTTAAAAAGATGTTTTGGGAGTGCGATATCAGGTTTCTGTCAATATTTCTGGAATGAGAATGTACCACATTCTATCAAATTTTGCTTTTTTAAAAAAGGTATAAATTGGGCTGTGAAATGTATGTACTTCATTAATATGAAGCGCCGTGAATTGTTTAGGTGGTATAAGGGGGGGGGGTTGCATGGTGTAGGATGTATACAATGTGTGTATTTCTGTGTATGTGGTGGCAGTCTGTGCATATTCTGACTTCTTGTGACCTAAAGAGCTAAGTTTACATATGCACATACACGGAGAGCACCGTATCTGCTAACCTCATAAAGAGGTGTTACCCTAATGCTAGAAATATGTATGCATATGCTTTATGTTTTAAATAGTTTTCTTTTCTTCCTTCCTTTCTTTCTTCCTTTCTTTTCTGTTAGTAAAACCAAAGTCTGTTAACAGTGTATTCTTTATCATCAGTGGTCTTTCTGGAGTTCTTTTTGTATTCGGATGACTCCATCTGTCTCCTTGCTTTATATAAGGAATATTCTTACGTAGTTAAATCTTAATCCTGATTAGAATAATTTACGAGTCCAAAGCAAAGTTTCCTTTTGAGATTATTGAGAAAAAGCAGCATGGGAGCTGGGCCCAAATGAAGCCCGGCTTTCCCACTCCTTTCGTTTTAGTTTTTAGTGCAGTGAGTTACATTTTTACTTGGAATTTAAATAACTGCCGCCTTAGTTTTAATTAGCACTTCTCTCTGTTGGGTGTGTACTATGTGTGCTCTGTGTTTGCCTTTGGTATAATGTAAAGCAGATGGCAAGACATCACAGCAGATAGTCAAGTCCAAGAAAGTCTATTTGATGGTGGATTTTTTAAATATCAGCTTTCACTCTGACAATTAAAATGCTAATTTAGAAGGCTTTACTGGAATTTAACAGTTGTATTTTTCTCAAGTAAAAGCTGGGAAGCTCATTTGCTATAATTCTGTGATATGAATCAGCGATTTAGAAGCTTTAGGAATGGAAGGGAATCGTTTTCCAGTGTTTACAGTGTCTGTTTTTCTTGTTGTCTATAATATATGTTAAAATATGCTTTTAAATGACTGAATTTTCTGTATGGTGAATTGGGAGGGGGAAATGTACTAAAATGCATTGTATAGTTATGATTTCAACAAAAATGTAAATGATGTGTATTTTCCGTTGTTAGTCTGCAGTGATCCAAATTTAAAACACATGGTGGGCTCTTTCTCAGGTGCTAGGCTGGGTGGATTGTCATCTTACTGCTTTCTTTTATGTTTTCATTTTATAATTCTATTGCCTGAATTAAAGAAATAAACAATAACATGGCAGCTTTTATTGCTTGTTTACTCCATGCATGCAAGGCATTGTTGCATACCTCGGCATATTTAATCATTATGCAGTTCTAAGTTATTGTCTTTGTTTGCACATAAGGAAATTAAGGCTTAATAAGATTAAATAAGTTATCCATGACCACAGAGCCAGCAGCATTAGAGGTAAAGCCATAGTTAACCTTGCACAGCTTCTACCCTATATCCACCTTTCTGCTTTGCCTGTTATTAAAAACAATACATTTTCCCAGATGCATCCATCTTAACTTTTACTGAAGGAAGGTTTAGCTGGTATTGCTACCATGTCTGTGGGTCTGTATCAGTGCCCTGATTCTAGCTGAGTAAGTTTGTCAAGATATGCTCAGCCTGCAGTAGAGAACTTTGCAGCTGTTGTACTAGAATGAACTCAATGGAAAAACAAGAGTTGTAGTTTGCTGGTAACTCAGATAGTCTTTGTTACATATTGGGAAATGTAGCTAGAATTTGGGTAAGAGAGGGAGGAACTGACTTTTGAAAGGTATGATGCATCTGATCAGCAGCCCCCGAAAGCAAGTGTCACAATCTTTCAGAAGCCTTGACACATGTGGGGGCAGCATGTTTACAGTTAGAAATCACGCCAAAATCAGAAACCCCCTGTTGATTATCAGCCCATTATTGCAGAAAACATTCTGTAGAAGAATTGTGATCTCTCTGGTATAGTGTTCAGGACAAGTTTTGAATTAGTGATAGGATGTTTGATTTAGTGATTTTTTTTTATACACATATAAATGTTTAAATGTTTCTTTTCTTCATAGGGGCCTAAGACGTACAACTCTTGGGCAAAGTACGGCGGTGGCAGACCATTGAATTCCCTGGAGCTTCCTGAGACAAGAGAGTGGAGGGCGGCCACACACTTGGAGCCTGCAGCATGCCAGCACTGTCCACAGGATCTGCTGGCGACATGGGTATGAGAACCCAAGGGGACAGTTTTCCCTACATTCTTACCTTGGTGTTTTTCCCCATGGCAGTAGCCTTGTGGGTACAAATAAACCACATTTGTTTCTCTGTGACCAACACGAGAGGCATAAAACCAGTCACAATAAATAAGCTCCAGACTAGACAGAAGTACTGTGGGATATTTAGATTGCTTCCTTCTCCAGGTGGTGGTGATGATGCGTGCTCATACCCTTGTCTTGCTCTTTGGAACAACCCTGTGCATTTATAAAATGAAGTAGTTGAGAATGCCCAGTATTCTGGCAAATACCGTAATACCAATCCACACTGCCATCACTTATATTTAACAGCAGACGTGAAATTTTTGCCACACTTGCTTGGACCTCTTGCCTTGTATTTTATTTATCTGCTTTTATTCTCTTAATGTACCAGCAGGGATAAAATACATCTGGAAGTCCCTACATATAATTAAGAAGTTATATTAAAATTAAACAGTGGGCTGTTGCTGTGACCCAGTAGATAAAGGTAATTGCTGCCAAGCCAGATGACCTGAGTTCAGTCCTTGCAAACCACATGGTAGAAGATTTTCTTCTAAAGGTTGTTCTTTGACCTTCACATTCTTGCCTGACCCTGACTACAATGAATAAGTAACTGTTACAAACAACAGCAGCTCAAGAAATCCCATCAATTGTAAGATTCAGAGGTCTCTAGAATAAATAAATATTTCTTAGAAACAAAACACACATCACGCATATAAAATCTTTGTGACCCAACTTAACAGTTGTCATCTTCCTTGCTGTCAGCCTGTTTACAGATGGATTCCTGGATGCTCTTTAGAATAAGGGGGAGGGATTAGGGCTGAAATCCAGTAGGGTGTGTGTTTAATAATGTGTGTGAGTACTGGATTTAATCTTCAGCACAAAAGAGAAAGAAAAGAATGAGTGTGGTTGGGAAATAGGCTGTGCGTTTTCTTTGTGTCTGCATTGATTTGTTCGAGGACAGGGTTTTACTCTGTATCCTAGGATAACCTTTAAGCCCACAGTCTTCCTGCCTCAGCCTCACAAGGGCCAGGAGTATTGTGAGTGACATCATGCCTAGACCATGCCTTGAAGTTTTAAGACTCCTTAGAAGTGGCAACATAAAGTGGCTGAAAGCAAGGCCCTATGTGTCACATAGGACACATCTCAGGGACCACATAACTCTGGCCAGCTGAGGTAACCGTTTCCACCCCAGCCATTCCAATCATGGGCACTGCATTTACCCTTTCCAGTTGCTGTTCTGGCAGATGTCATTGTTTCCAGTTTAAGCATACTCAGTGCTTATGCTCTGCAAGTGTAGTCTGGCTGATCTCTGGCCATCTGTAGTGATTACTGTGGATTACTTTCGTTGTGAGGAAATTTTATTTTTTGTTAAATGCTGTTAAGCTTTAGTTTTTTTTTTTTTTTTTCCTTTCTTAGGATGTTTCCTTTCGTTTTTAGTTTTTATGTAGTTCCATGTTTTATTGTACTGTGTAAAATGAATAATTGACCTTTTTTGTAGTGATGAGGTAATTATTTTCTAGCCACAAGCATACTGTGGTTGTGTAGTGTATTTTATACTTTGTTATTCACCAAAATTGGGTTAGCTTACTTGATAACAAAGTGTTGCTAATGGTGTATAACTCAAAGGCTGTTGAGAACAAGCATTTATAACTGAGAGCTATTGGTCATAGAAAGTAGCATGGATGGAATGGAATTTACAAAGAGCTTTTTCACATAGCCATGTGGTATAGAGCAGAAGCACCTGCCTTCTGGTGTTTTTGAACCTGTGTCCCAGAAGGTTTGAGTCTGGCATGGAAGACATGCCTGTTCCCAGGTCAGTCCACTCACAGCAGCCACAGTGGGGTGTGTGCATCAGATGCTTAAGAGTCCCTGCTTAGACCTCCTGTACAGGTGCAGTTGAAGATATGTTTACTGATGCTTTGTTGCTTAGCAACATTGTTGATATTACCTTGCTGTTGAGTCTCCAAGAGAATAAAGTTACAGTTTTACTGATGGTGGTGGGCCCACATCCCAGATGCAAGGTGACTGACTTTAGGTGCTTGTTGTAGTCATTTGGGAAAATGTTGTGTGTATCTGTGGTATCCAAATGCGTACTTTGGTGTGTCCCCTTCTGCACATGTGGAGGCCAGAGGAAGATGTGGGTAGTCTGCTCTATCACTCTGTGTCCTATTCCTTTGAAGTTGGGTCTTTCATCAAACATGGGGCTAGGCTGTTGGGCATCTAGCAAGCAAGCCTTATCCATCCTCCTGTCTCCCTGCCGCACACATGCTCTCACACGCATGCACGCACATATGTACATACACATGTGCATACCCACACACAGTTTTGGGTCACATAGTCATGTATGCACCATGACTAGCTTTTTTATGCAGGCGTTAGGGATTCAAACTCAGGTCTTTGTGCTTACTTAGGAAGCACATTACACTCTGATCCATTTCCTCAGCTTCAGAAAGGATTTTTAGTGAGAAGCTCTGAGTACTCATCCGCCTCCCTCTTTCTGTTTATTCCACTAAGGAAAAAAAAAAAAAAAGTGAATTTTGTAAGTCAGCATGAAGACATTCCCATCTCCTTAGTCTCTCTTTCTTAGCTTGTTAAGTATTCTACAAGAGTTGTGTGTGCATTCAACATTTCACATAGCTCAATTGTCGAGATCATGGTTTAGCATGTGTGAGGATCAGGGTTTGGTCAATGGCACATCCGTTTGACTCTTCTTAAAACAAACAACAGATCACACATTTTATTATGAGCTGCAGATTGTGTTACTCTGTTTCTTCTTGCAGTGCTCGGGTCTCAGCTTAGGGCCTTGCACATGATAGGCAGGTGTGCTGCCTCTGAGCTACATCCCAATCCTGTTCTGTAACTGTGTATAGCAAATACAGTCTTGGAGAGCTATTTCCAGGGAGTGTATGAATGTATAAAGTGTGTCATGCATGTTTATTCACACATCTGCCCTACACACCTGCAACATCTCTTCATGTTTCGTGTGACTTCACAATGTTGTGGTCCACAATGCTATAAAGGGAATTCTGATCTTTTGTAAGTATTTGAGCAGGAGAGATGAGCACACTTAATGATGCTGTTAAGTTGACCTCCAGACTTGTTAAGCCATTTAGCTATGTATGGAGTGCATTAGAGCTCCGGTCTCCACATTCTTGCCAGTGTTTGGTACTGTCAGTCTTTGTAGATGCTGGCATTGGATAGGGAAAACATAGGCTGTGAAGTGATCAAGGTGGATTGTTCTTCTGTGGAGAACATTTCTGTTGTTTACTGCACTTTCCTGGCTGAGATGTGTCTATTCAAACCCGTTTTCCACTATTGTGTTGTTACCATATTCTTTACATTTTATACCTTAAATCTTTTGGGCGTTTCTTCTCCTAGTTGGCCACTTGGCCTTTTTTTTTTTTTTTTTTTTTTTTTTTAACCTCCCCCCTTAAACAGTCACATTTCTTTTACAGAGTTGAAAAATCATGTGAGCACATCTTGGTTATTGCTTTTCCGCCTTCAGCATAAGTACGTCTCTGCTTGTCCAAGAGCATATATATTCTCCCAGATTTCTTTGAATAAATGTAAAGATTCGTTTTTACACATGGAATTTTGATCTGACTGCCGTTTGAACGCAGAGTGAGGCAGAGATCTAACCTTCCTTTCTTGCAGATTGTCAACCATCTTAGGATTAATGACCCCTTATTCCATTCTTTCCACATTATTATAGTTTTTCCTCTACTATATATGAGTGCCATGTACATTCTTGATTCTCTTTCTGGGTTATAATGACTGGTTGATTGCATCTTAAAATTTTTAACAATCCAATTTTTACAGTAAGTTTAGAATCACAAAGATAACGTATAAAGTTGCAGTGTACCTCACACCCACCTTCTTCCCTTGTTAACCTCATGCACTGATGGCAGGTCGGCGGTGAACTGATGCAGATACGCTATCCCTGAATCCATCCCGTTTCCTTAGTTTGTCCTCCATGTTCCCCCTCTCCCTTTGGTTCCAGACTATCAATTAGAGCAGCATGCTGCATGCAGGTTTGTGACTCGTTCAGCTGCTCCTGGGTTTGATGATTTCTCAGGCTCGTCTTGACTGACATACTTAGTGATTTGGAGGGGTAGTAGTCAGGTATATTGTAAGGTTCTCTGTGTTTGAATTTGTCCTGTGATTTTCTCACAAAGGGAATGGAGTTACATGCTTTGTGGAGTTAGCAATAGAGGTAAATGCGATCATAGGAACGGTGCTACTGTCCCCTGGACTGAGACTGCTGATGCTCACGTTCATCTGGCTCTCAGTTTCTCCACTCTTCAAGTTCTCACCTTTTCCACTTTCCATAGGATAACTGTGGGCCTCTCATGAGAAGATCACACTGACCCAGAGGCACATTCTGTTTCCCCGTTTAGGGTGGAATATCTGTGTAAGCTTCTTGGATTCTTGTCTTTCTCTCCCATTTATTCACGCATTCATTGTTGGCACTGACTAGTGTCTATTTGGCTTATGTTTGGGGTTAGAATCCAGAACTGTTTTGTGTTGTTACCATAGTTTGTCTAGCTTTGCCTGTTGGAAGTTCTTCAGTCAGTTCCTTTGAAAGACTCCATCGATGCGGGCTTGCCGATTTTCTAGCTCTTTCTTACTCTGGCAGCCAAAGGGCACCAGTTCATCTTGAGTGCTTCCTGCCCTATTCCTCTAGTAGCCATTTCTCCAAGGAGCCTAGTTTCTTTACAGGGGAGAATAGAATTAGAAATGGAGATGTGAGCAGGTATTTTGCTTACTGTCTCTGAAGTGTGACTGTCTTAGTTAGGGTTTCTATTGCTGTGGAAGAGACAGCATGACCATGCAACTTTTATAAAGAAAAAACAATTGAGGTGGCTTACATTTTTTGAGGTTTAGTTCATTTATCATCATGGTGCAACATGGTGGCTTGCAGGCAGAGATGATGCTGGAGACAGAGCCGAGAGTCCTACATTTTGACTTGC